ACCAAACGCACATTTCTCATGGTTTAATTTTCATATTGAACTTCCCGCAAGATCTGAAGTATCTGATAAGTGCGCTATATGATCCCCGAATGCTGAGTTTTAACGAGCATATCGTCTATGTAGACCTCCATAGTTTTTCCCAAGTGTTCTTGGAACATTTTGGTCACCAGTCTTTGATACGTTGTACCAGCATTTTTGAGGCCAAAAGGCATTACTTTTATAGCAGTAAGTCCCCTGTCTGTTATAAAATGTTTTTTCTTCATCCTAGAAGGAACCATTTTTAATCTGGTTATAACCTGAATATGCATCTAAAAAGCTTAACAATTCATGTCCTGCAGTAGCATCAATGAGTTGATCTATATGTGGTAATGGAAAAGAGTCTTTGGGACAAGCTTTGTTAAGATCTGTGTAATCTACACAAACTCGCCACTTACCATTCTTTTTTGGTACCACAACAGTATTGGCTAACCAATTAGGATACTTTACCTCGCGGATAGATCCATTGTTTAATAATTTTTGGACCTCATCTTGAATCACCTGATTTTTGAAAGTTCCTTGCTTTCTCTTCTTTTGTTTGATAGGTGGATAAGACGGGTCTACGTTTAATTTGTGAGTCATTACCTACGGTGGTATACCTGTCATATCAGAATGGGATCGAGCAAAACAATCTGCATTAGCTTTTAAAAATTCAATCAACTTACGTTTCACGTCTGGGCTGAGATTGCCCCTATGTAAATTTTCCTTTCAGGCCAATGTACAAACAATACTACAGCCTCCAGTTCTTCGATCGTTGTTTTGATATTTTCGTTTTCTTCTGGTTCTTCAATGGAGTTAGGCCTTGAATCTACATCTGTTCGCCCTTGTTCAGTTGAGGTTTGCGTTGTGGTATCCTCAACTGAATACTGTAATTGCTATTTTTCTTCATTTCTCGTGCTTGAATCTACCACGGAGTTAATGTTCCTAGATGTCTGTTGATCTCCACGGATTTGACATATTCCCCACGGTGATGGAAATTTAATGACTTGATGTAAGGTCGACGGAACAGCATCCATCTCGTGGATCCATGGCCTCCCTAGAATTATGTTGTAAGCCATTTCCAGCTCCACTACCTGAAACTTTGTATCCTTGACAACTCCTTCTGCGAATGTAGTAAGTATTACTTCCCCTTTCGTCACGACGCTAGAATTGTCGAACCCGGACAAAGTATGCGCCTTGGGTACTAATTTGGCTTCAGCTTGCATCTCATGTAGAACTCTTAGCAGAATAATATTCACAGAGCTACCTGGATCAATAAAAACTCGTTTCACATTAGTGTCATGTACAAGTAAAGATATTACCAGTGCGTCGTTATGTGGAGTTAATACGCCATCCGCATCTGCATCATCAAACGTAATGCTTTCTTCCTCTAAGACATGTCGCACCCACTTCCCGTGGGTCATCGTGACTTTGGATACTTTATTTGCTGCTGTATACGTCACACCATTGATTTCTTCACCTCCGCTTATAACATTAACGGTCCTTTTTGGGGAGGGTGGTTTTGGGGGTTCCTGCCTATTCTTCATGTATGCTTGCTTTCCTTTCTCACTGAATAACTCGGTGAGATACCCTTGCTTCAACAGATGATCAACTTCACCCTGTAATAACCTACAATCTGCCGTTTTGTGACCATGATCATTATGAAATTCACACCAGTGTTCGGGATTGCGCCTGTTTGGGTTTGACCTCATCTCTTTTAGCCACCGCACCTTATCACCCATGCTTCTTAAAACAGCAACGATCTCGGAAGTGCTTACATTAAAATTATAACCACCGAACCGCGCCTTCAAGTTTCTATCATCATCTCGTGACTCTCGCGTGTTGCGATCATTTCCATACCTAGATGATGAACCCGATTCTCTATTTCTAGATCTATGGTCGTACCTTAAATGATCATGCTTGGACCGTGAATCTTTTTAAGCTAGGCCCATATATGGTTCGTACCTATTTTTACCTGATCTTTTTTCTGTTTCCGCCTGTCTCAAACTTACCTTTTCTTCTTTTTGAGATCGTGAGATAATATCTTCCTCGATCCTTAACTTCGTGCTTTATCGGTTGTAGACGTCATTCCATGTTGTTGCTGGGAATTCATGAAGACTTTCCTTGAGTCGCCTCGTGGCTTCTGAGCTTTTTTCATTCAAATTACTGGTGAAAGCTATAGCTGCCCAATTATCTGGTACACGTGGTAACATCATTCTTTCACGCTGGAACCTATCCACGAACTCTCTGAGCAACTCAGAGTCCCCTTGTTTGATTTTAAAAATATCCTCCATTCTCTTTTCGACTTTTTGAGCTCCCGAATATGCTTTGATAAATGAATCTGCAAGCTCAGCAAAAGAATTTATAAAATTTTCGGGAAAAAGAGAATGCCAAGTTAATGCTCCCTTAGTGAGCGTTTCTCCGAATTTTTTGACCAATACTGATTCAATTTCTTGTTTGGTCAAGTCGTTGCCTTTTACGCCAGTTGTGAATGCAGTCACGTGGTCTCGTGGATCAGTTGTTCCATCGTACTTCGGAATATCAGGCATTTTGAATTTCTTTGGAATTGGTAAAGGAGCAGCGCTTGGCTTCCAAGGTTGCTGTGAATATTTATCCATATCTATTCCTTTGATTACGGGTGGTACTCTAGGTATTTGCTCTATGCGGTCACTTTGCTCCTTAAGCTGTTTTTGATGTTAGAACTAAATTTTGCAAATCGGAATTGACTACGTTACCTGGTTCTCCCTCTTGTGATTCACTAGGGATTCCACCACTGCCTGAATTAACAAGCCCAGAACGAGGGTTTTCCAAAGTGTTGGTATTTGGAACTGGTGTTGATGGTGCAGCAGGTAATTGGCTGGCAAAGGCTTCAAGAGCTTTATTGACCTGTTGAGCGATCAACTTCTGCAAAGCTTCATTGATAGCTTCATCGTTGTTAAATTGAGTATTTGCATTTGAGTGAGATCCATCAGGAGTTCCTTCTCGAGATCGACGAGGCGAACTTTGCGGAGAAGGGATCGGAGTGTGAACATCTTGTGGATCCCCTTGGAGTTGATGATTTCCTTGATTTCCTTGGGCGTTATCGTTAACATTTGACATGATTGTTGATGTAACGAAATAGATAAGGTTAAGAAAGAATAGATTATCAGATTCCCGGTAATAGAACCAATTTGTTTAACCGAAAAATGGAATTTCAGTCAAAGCTTTATTTTTAGAAGAACTCGAATTTTCTGATAATCAGAAATGAATAAAAGAAATGGATTTTGATAACCAATAGATAGCAGAAAACAAAATAAACCAGTGTATTCAGATGTTATTGTCCCTTTTATAGCTATTTTTAAGTTATACGTTTTGCCTTTGTCATAATAAGGTCATTATGGACGATTAAAGGCATTAAATGCTACGTTACATAATCATTGTAATTTAATACAGATCCTCTAACGTTTTCAGTATTTAATGCTTATTAAATACTGTATCTGGGCTCTCCTGTGTTGTCAGGTTCATTCTTCTCAGCTTTTAGACTTAAATAGGTACGAGCAACGAGTCTTTTGAATATTTGCTCGTGCCTCTTCTTGTACTTCCGCTCGTATCTGTTGCAACTCATGCCTTTTTGCTTAATCACCATTCTTTGACCTGCCTACGTGTCATGACATGTAATCTTTCCATCACTTCGATATGCATAAACTCAGTTTTACCCAATACACAAACGGGTCCGTAATATCATATTTCTCCCCAAAACACGTGTTCTCTCTATCGCACGAACAGGTCGAAATGCGACATCGATCACATTGGGAGGGGCCATTTTCCCATAACGAAGGTTAAAGTGAAGGTCAAGTTATTGTTCATAGTGGTAAACGAGGGGAAATTGAGTAAAGGATAGTGTTGTTTCGTACTAATATAGTCCCAAGGTGGTAATTAGAGTTACAAACTTCATAGCTTCCTCCACTCACCTCCACGGGTTCTTGGATTTAATTTAGATATGAAAAATCCCTTGTGTATTCATGATTAGTCTCAGGGGCCGCTCAAGCATATACAGAGCCTAAAGCCAAAGTTTAATTTATGGCCTAAAATTTTTTAAAAAAAGTTATAAGATGTGTTTTTATTTGAAGTCTATTCTTCTAACTTTTTGAGATATAAAGTTGTTAATAATTTTTTTTATAATCGATTTTCTCTAATAACTCTTGCTTGATTGATAATATAACCAACCCTATCTAATCTTTTTGAGATATTGTTGATCTTAGATAAGATTTTTACAAAGAAATAGAAGTAGAGAACTATTGGAAGCTTAAAAGTATTGCTGAAAACACTTGAACTAGTGAAATCTTGGAGAAAGAAGGTGAGTAATGAAATCTTGAAGAAAGAAGTGAGTAAGAATATCAAAGAGAAACACAAAAAATATATAGGGTTTTCTGAAATATGAAGAGATTTGAAAAAAAAAAAAAAGATTGACTTGGCCAAATTAAGGAAGAGAATGCAAATTTTTTAATGGAGTAAAAATGAAAAACTAAAAGTTATGAAAACTATTCATTTACACATTTTTAAGTCAAATTATTATTTTATTTATATATCTAAAAAAAATTCTTTTAAAAACTCTAGTTTTGTATTAAAAATACTAAATATTATTTTTTAACTACCTATAAACCTATTATTTTGAAAAAACCCCTAAATTTGGGGGCCTTAGGCACACGCCTTACTCCACTTAAGGTTGGAGCCGGTCCTGAATTCAGTCCTAATAGTTTGTATTCATCTCATGGTACTACTTACAAATGTACTTACGGTACTTTAATCTAAAAGTACTTATATCTGTCATCCATTGTTCAATATTTGGTAGTATTAAGTTACAGATAAGAACGACTGGAGAAAAAGGAATTATAGCTCCTCTCACTCTTTTATACGTGGAGAATTTCAACCAATGGGAGAAAGATTTTCCTACTAAAATACTAGTAGTTTATTTTGTTTCAGCATATTATTGAAACAATATAATATCATCAGAAATACAAAACATGCATGGTACTGCATGCATTACATTTGTTTCTGAAATTTGATGTTAAAGGTGATATCACTCATCAGAATGCCTAGTTACAATGAGTTGTGCAAAAACTTAATAAGCAAACTCTTTTACCTCTCTATGAAAACCATATATTATTTCAAAAGCTAATCAATCTTGGCCTACTCTTCTGCTGACTCTGTTACATTACACTGATAGACAACAAACTTTTCCACAGGACGCTTACAGCGGGAGCAAAATACAAATTCTTCAGTCAATCCTTCTTCAGATTGAAGGATCTCATTGTGATAGCAGGGTTTAACAGGCAGAGGAGATTCCATAGCACATCGAATAGCACCAAATAACCCCAATTTCGCGACTTTTTGTGCCCATTCTGGAACAAGATTTAAGCATTCTTGGACTTGTCTCCCCTTGAGGATTATTATATCAGTTGATGATCCCTTTCCAATTATCATCCAATCAGTCGACGTTTCACAAGCATCGAGTAACGGTTGTATGATGCTGTTATAGTGAGCTGCCTGATCTAGTCTAGCAACTGAATTTTTTATGCTCTCCAGTCTAAGCCAGAACAACTTCATCTTCGCCGTAGATAGGAAAATACTCGAATTTTCTTCCATGCTGATGTCTAAAATATTCCCAACATCTTTATTAAGCGGATTTCTATAGCCAACATAAATAGCTTCAAGCTGAATTCCCATGCTATTTTTGATTTTCTGTAATGTGTTGTTAAAGTCTCTGATCCAACTAATCTTGTCACTTCCATAAAAGCAAATATGTTTACCTTCATCTACCTGAAATCAAAAGAATATATATATATATATATATCTTGTGTTGATTAAGAACTAAAAGCACAAGTGGGGTAATTAAGTAAAGCTTTTACAAGGCCTTAATTAAATTATTTGTTAAAGGGCAGAAAGCAACATATAAGAAGCTTACCAAATTGGTCAAAAAAGGATCAATCCCATCAATTAAAAGCTGGAAGATCTTGTTTTCCTGTTCCCACAGCTCTTTTTCTCTTGAGGCTGAAAAAGGAAATGCTTTGGCCCCCCATAGCCATACCATATCAATAGCATTTAAGTTTGTGACAACACCATCAGTGCTTAATACCACCATTATGGGTTCCTCTTTATAGCTCCATTCTTTTCTAATAAAATTTATAACAGCTGAATGTAGTAACCACGGGCATCGGATTGAGAACCAGGGCAATGAATTTGACAGAAACTTGAAATTCATTTCATCAGTCAAATTCCAGGTGTGTGAAGATGGAATTGGGACCCATAAAATAGCATAGCTTGCTCCAATTTTTTTATGTAAGGGATGATCATGCATTTGGTGCACTAGATAAAATATTTTCTCCACGGCCATGAGTTCTGGCTTTGAGATCAAGAGTATGACCACCTTGTTTTCCAGTTCTTGGATGCCAAAATACTGTTGAAGACAAACAAGTTTCTAGTTATTAATAAGTATTTAGAATTGACTCATCAAACTGCTAGCTAGCTGCCTCCTGGTTTCAAGTCTTACCATTTTGTGGCATAAATCAGACTATTGATTTTCGTCTTGCATATTAGTAACAAATTAACTTTTGCGAAGAAGAGTACCTTTTCTCGTGAACTATCTTTCAATGGTAAGTCATTTGTCGATGAGAATAACACATGAAGCACCTCTTGATTGTGACAATGGGAGAGTTCAAAAAGATGGCGTATCTTTTCAGGAAACCTTCTTTCTGAGAGCAACATAAGAATTTCAATTTTATTGTCGAATAAAATTTTTTTGATAATAAAAGCTCGTAGAAAGACAATCACCTATTTGCATATGGCACATATGTAATTTCTCTCTGAGGTCATTGCATAAGCCACTTAGCTTGTATACCAAGCTGAATACAGTCCATGCTGCAATGGTTGTTGAATTTGAATGCCTGGAGTTCGGATTATTTTCACGTCAATTTATTTACTGGTGAAGAGAAAAGTAACTTCCAGAATATGAGATAAGTATTATATACTGAATAAGTAAATGAAGGGAAAAAACATGCACTTGGTTATCTTTCATGGTCCTGAAATCTGCGATGAGAGGAGCGCATGAGATTGAGCTTCTTAAAATCCAGTAGATTGTTATGTACATCTTTGACTTTGTAACAACAATAGCCTCATCATCCAAAAGTTGTTGTTGCAAAGGCAAGCCTTCAAACTCGAGGACGAGATTTGCTGCCTCTATCATAGTATCGAACAACAAGTTCAAAGCTTTAAATTGTATATTTAACGTGTTTAACTCTCGAGGCATTTGCTTAAGTGCTGCAGTTAAAGCTGCCAGAGAGTTGTGATGGACTAGCTGCATTATGAGCCAAAGCTCGCCATATTTTGACACCAATGCTGCAAGTGTTAAAACTACTTTAGCATCCCATTTGAAAGGGCCTAAAGTTTCAAACAACATCATAGTTTCTGCGTGTAAGTCTCCATCCTCATAGCATTTGCACAGAATCTACGATAACCAAATTATTGTATTTAGATCCATGAACATAAGATCGGCTTAAAGATCTATGATTGTGAAACAGAGGGACAGCACTACTTACCCTATGTGAGATCTTATTAACGGTGTATCCAAGCTTTCCTTCAAATCCAAACACTTCGAAATTCCATGAATTTATACAATCGCTTCGAGGATAAGAGAACTGAAACAAAACAATTCTGAGGTTGTCATGCTACAGTATAGTATGATCACCAGATAAATGATAAATCCATGTGTGTACCATGATACCTCTACGAATACATAAATACAGGAATAGAAACTCATAATTACAGCTAACTGCTTTTGCAATATTGTTGGGACAGTATGATTTAGCATACGGAACCAAGGAAATATACATGAACAAAGAACATAGACAACACAATATTGAATAACCTTAGGTGAGATGAAATGCATGGTGCTCTCAATGACAAGAAGCAATTGACTAGAATCTAGCTCACGACCATCAGGATCAGGATCATGGGTTTGGAGAATCTTCTTAATCAATAGATCATCTTCTATAGATGACAGGGAACATGGATCAAATTGTTGCAACAAACTCATGGGGCTGGAAGTGAAGAAAGTTGACAGATCGAGAGGTCGCATAGAACAGTTGACTTGCTCTCTGGATCATAGGAACTAAAGACCACACTCGCACTCTTGTTATGCAACTTAAAACAGGCTAATATTACTCTGAGTAATATCTCAAAGAATACGTGTGTGTCTGTCTATCAACAAGTTTGAGAGCCTATGTGCATATATGTTCATGAAACACAATAATATAAAAATAAGTGGAGACCACCAAAAGAAGAGATGCTTATTCAAAGTCTTATCAGGGGACTTCTTTTTGGAGCAGTAGATTGAAAAAAACATTATGTACTAGCATTTCCTTTCAGCACTTTGTGTTGCGTGACCCTCAAGAGACCAAACCTATACTTGACGAATCTCTTTCAGCAAACCATACTAAAAAAAAGCACCCTACTAAGCTATATCTCAATTATGATTGCTTTCCTGATTTGCAAAAATGTATTGGGTGATGGGTACCTTGTTTTGCTCTCTTTGTGCTTCTTTATAAATAACAAAATATGGTCCTCCATATAAAGGAGCAGGCTTATGAATAAAGAAGATTCATGTAGTCTACCTTATTAGTTCAAGATTAAAAAACACTGATTGTTGTTCTTTATGAACACTATAACTCTTGTTTACTATGCACTGGTTTCAATTTTGCCACCTCTTTTAGAGTCGATGCCAGGGGCGGAGCTAGGGGGTGCAAGAGGGTTTATCCGAATTCCCTTCTAGATAATTAAACTGTATATAAAAAGGTTAAAATTATTTTTATGTGTCTATAGTAGATGTTGAATCTCGTTCGTGTTTACTTCTTTATAATTTGAATCCACTTAAGTGAAGCTCCACCACTGTGAGGTTCTTCAAACCAACTTGACAATCAATTTTGGTTTTCCTCATTTTCTTTTTTTGAGTCTTGAATTTACAAGTAAAGTAGAATTATCTTTAGCACAATGTCGAGGCATCCATATCATAGCCGTGCGCCCACCGGATGCAAAAACAGAAAAAGCTACGACATACTTTAATCAAAAGAGTAAAGAGAGCAGAATATTGGCTAAAGAGATTTGTAAACAAAAAGATGTCACACCAATAGAGCATAACATAATCATTAGTTACAGTATGTTTTTCACATTAAGAGTACCAAAGAAATATCGTACGAAAATAATCATGATATGTGATATTATACCAGATGCTTCTGAAGTCCAGATTGAACTTGAAATTGACTCTGGAGACTGTAACGAGAAAAGGATAGGTGAATATGTTGAGGAAGCTCGTAGCGTTTCCACCATTATCACCCAAAACGTCTCCTCCATATTATGCTTGTGTGGAGTAATTACCTCATCCCTTAACTTGACCTTTCACAATTGAAGAGAATTTAAAGGTTTTAGCAAGATGGCATGTTGATTTACTGTCAAACTTCACTGGCAAGGATACACTTCTTCTTGTAAATTACACTAAACAAAATATATTGATATTATCCTTATTTTTCTAGCAACATGTAAAATTCTGTTTTTGACAACGAAATTGTTTCGTTTTAACACATTTACAAGAAGTAAAGTCATGTGCTATCACGATCCAAAATCCTACCTTAGATCGTGGTGGCGCCTAATTGTACTTGCTAAGAAAACCAACTCACATTCAACAAATAATATAGTCCAGATTCCTTTAATTAACAGAGTCATATCATAAATAAAGACAAGTGTTTACCCTAAAAATGGATAACAATTGAATTTATACTGTGGTTTTAAGGACACGTGATCTTACTTGGTACAAACAGAGAAAAATGCAATATTGATATTGAAATTAACTGAAAACAGGAATAAAGCAAACCAAAAGAGATATGCAGCTTTGACCCTCGAGGTAGATTACCCTCGAACCAAAGGAATGAGCAATATTGCATGAATATGATGTGTTTTACAAATGATCACACCCCCTTTATATAGTAGGCGAGTCCTACCTTTGATACAATTCTAAATACAGTAACAAATTCCATGATTAGCTAATTAATCGGCCTCTTCTTGATACGTGCCGAGATTTCCGCCGTGACCCTCGCCCGATTGCGGATATTTCGGCTGTCCGTTATTTGGCTCGATGAACTTCTCTCGATCTTGCTCGTATTTTATCTCACTTGACCTCGATCTTGGCTGATCTCGATCAGTCCTTGAGTCACGAGATGGGCAACCTAACTTCATGTCACGGTCCGGTATGACATGGGACCGAACCTTGGGTCGCCTCGTTCTAGGACGAGCCCGATTTTGACCGTATACAGATAGTCCCCTCGTTTCTCGGAGGGAAGATGACGAGAAACAATATGAACTTTTCCAATCCCATCTCGGCGGGTCATGACGTAAGCGATGGACCCGACCATGACATCAACGACAAGTGGATACTGAAACATCCCGTCAGTTTGGATATCGAGGCATTAAATGCCTGTCAGTTGTTGTCGGCCACTACCGGTTCTGAACCGTCGTCTTCAACTTATAAATGTATCTTTCTTCTTTTGCCCAAACTTTACTTTCAAATCTTCTTTGCTCTAATCTTAAAAATCCTTTGCCTTCCTAAAAGCTTTGAACTTTCAGATCCCTGGTGTTTCTTCGCCTCTTTCATCACAAAATACCAAGCGTTTCTTCTCAGTTTCCATTCTTCTTCATTCGTAAAAGTAAAATGGCTAAGACTTCAAAAACTATTCCGCAAAAGGAAGCTGCTTCCTTGTCCCGGCCAGCCAGCAAGCAACCAGTGGCGGAGCCACGCCCTGAAGAGTTCTTTCCCGGAAGGTGCGTCATCTATTCCGATTTCAAGGTTGAAAAGACCCCCTCAGTTCCGAAGACCTCCTCTCCCAAGTTAAGAAAGACTGCAACTGGGAGAAAAAGCATGTGGTGGTGCCTGCTCCCGAAGAATCAATCACCACGCACGTGGAAGGGTTCGTAAGTGTTTACACTTACCTTTTCACGTTGGGTCCTTTAGATCCGGCTACATTAGACTTCTGCAAGAAGTACGAGGTGACCCTCGGCCAGATTCACCCCTCTTTTTGGAGGATAGTGATATTGCTCCGCTTCTTCGTGAGCAAAATCGACGGGTGTCCCTTCACCATCGACCACCTCAAACGCTTGTATAGCCCTCGACTATATCGAGGAGGTCTAATAAAGATTCAATGTCGGGCCACCAAGGCACCCTTCTCCAACATAGATGAGGACAAAGACCGGGGTTGGATGGGCCGATTTGTACGAGTGAAGACCTCAGACTTGATCCCGGCCGAGAGCATGCCATTTCCTGAGAAATGGAAGATGAAGCGTAAGTATACCTTCGTCCTCAATTTTTGTTTTTGTCTTCATTTTTCCTCCTTTCTTATCAGTGTTTTTCGATGCAGCTATTGCCTGGATGCTTCTCCGACTTGAGGACTGGGTCAGGGGCCTGGTGTCGCAGATGTAGACATGTAATTTTTGACCCGCCACGTCTTCAAGCTATATTAGTAGTTTCACATATTTTTATTTGAGTTATTTGAATTTTTCTAGGATTCTAATACACTATTCTTATTGTTATTTTATTTAGTATTTAAAAAAAAAAATCGAAGACACAAAAATAGTTTCAAGTCTATTTAATTTAAGGTTAATTAGTACTTAATATAGTAATACTATTTTCACCTATTTTTATCTATTTTTATTTTTATATAATCTTGAAAAATACCAAAAATAGTTTCACAATGTAATATTATTTATTTTAATTAATTAGAGTTAGTTATGTATTTTATAGTATAGATTTTATATTATTTGTAAAAAAAGAATTAAGATTTGGGTTGGAAAGGCCCAATTTCGGATAACCCAAAACATTGAGCCCAATACCCTTTACACCTAAATTAAAACCTTTTTCTTCTGGTAATTAAATTTTTTTATTAATCACCAAAAGTGAAGGCATTACAAAGCATAGCTTAGCTACTCCCAGCTAGCTAATTCTCATGAGATTTACAGGGAAAGACTATACTATCTTAGCATACTAGACCATATTGCTATCAGTGAGCTATGCTAAAAATACAACTTTTGCACTAGTTTCTTTACATTCCCAATAGCTCTAAAATTACATATGCAGACTATCTCCCTTGCCAAGCTTGTGTGATCTCTGAATGTTTCTTGAAATATTCTCTGATTCCTTTCTTTCCATAGAGCATGTGTATATTCAGCATACATCATCTTGAGAAGTTTTGCTACAGCTGATTTCCCTTTTGTGTGCTGACAAATGATCTGTAGTTGTTGCTCCCATGTTGAACTACTAATGTTCTGTACCTTTGCCCATTGACTCAATCTACCCCACAACCTTTTAGCATAGTCACATTCAGCAAATAGATGATTCCTTGTCTCCAAGTTTGTATGACATAACACACATGAGTCATTTACACTGAGTCCCCATTTCTTAAGTCTGTCCACAGTAAGTAACCTTCCTTGGCATTGAAGCCACATTGTGATTATAGCCTTAGGTCTGGCAGCATTGCTACACATTAGATTTCTCCAGGTAGTTTTAGGTAACATTGGTGTCAGTTGAAGGTATATCTGCTTAATGATGCTTGTCTTATCCTCTAATGGCCTGTGCAGCTGATTTATGATCTCCCTTGCTTCCAATATCTTCCTCACCATCCAGCTTGCATTCATAGGGATAGACATAGAGTTTATGCACTGCTCCTTGATGTACACAGTATGAATCCACTTAATCCACAATTTGTCTTTCTTGTGAGATAAATCCCAGAAAGTTTTGGCAATGGCAGCAGTATTCCAGATGTGAAGATTGCTTAAGTTGAGTCCACCAACTGTCTTTGGTAGACACACTTTATCCCAGGCAATGAGGGCCCTCTTTGTGATTTCATTACCACTAGACCACATATAACTTCTACAATAAGCTTCTATTAATTTGATCACTTTGACTGGTGATGGAAATATTTGAGCCCAATATGATTGGATTCCAAACAGCACAGTCTGTATTAATCGGACCCTTCCAGCATAAGACAACTTTTTTGCAGTCCATGAAGTAATCTTTGCTACTATTTTTGTGATGAGAGGTTGCCATTGTTACATATTCAGCTTCTTTGTGTCCAATGGTACTCCTAGATATTTGAAAGGTAGTTGACCTTGAGTATATCCCATATTCTGGCAGATTGTTTCTATAGTCCCTCTTTCCATA